AATAATTAATATTTAATATTTAATAATTATTCTTTGAATAATTGACAGAGGGAAAGAAATATTGCGAATTCACGGCCTGAGCTCTGCCCTGAGGGCTTTGGGGGAGCAGGGACCCGTTTTAGGGGGGTTGGGATGAGGATTTTCCAGGGAATGGGGATGGAACCACCCAGGATGGGGTGGAGGTGGCACTGGGGTGGCATTGGTGACATTGGTGACACTGACACCTGGCACATCTTCCCCAGGCTGAGAGCGTTTCCCCACCCCARTTTTGAGGGCATTTCCCCAGTTTTGAGGATTTCTCCTCATCCCAAGGTCAAGGGCATTACCCGATTCCAGATTTGAGGAGGTTTTGGCTGTTTTGAAGGCCTCTCCCCATCTCAGGGTCAAGGACATTTCCCATCCCAGTTCTGAGGGCATTTCTCCAGGTTTGAGGGCATCTTTTCGCAACAAGAAATCTTCCCACATTTAAGGCATTTCCCAGGTTTGAGTGCATTTCCCCAGTTTTGAGGTAATTTTCCCCAAGTTTGAGGGCATTTCCCCCAGTTTTGAGGTAATTTCCCTGGTTTTGAGGGCATCTTTCCAGGACAAGAACATCTTCTTGGGTTTGAGGGCATTCTTCCCAGTTTTGAGGGCATTTCCCCAGGTTCGAGGTCATTTTCCCCACCTCAAAACCTGACCAGACACCACCTCCATATTCGACATCATCTCCCCCGTTTTCCACCACCCCTCCACTCCCACCTGACCCCGTTCCTCGATGTCCCCGGGCAGGAATGGACCCCGCCACCACCTCCAGGAGCAACCACTGCCTGGGCGAGGGCTTTTCCCCAATTTTGAGGTCATTTTCCCCAGGTTTGAGGGCATATTTCCATGACAAGAACATCTCCCCAGGTCTGAGGGCATTTTCCTCAAGTTGGAGGGAATTTTCCCAGTTTTGAGGGCAATTTTCCCGGTTTTGAGGTAATTTTTCCCAGATTTGAAGGCATCTCCCCAGGTTTGAGGTAATTTTTCCCAGTTTTGAAGGCATCTCCCCAGGTTTGAGTGCATTTCCCCCAGTTTTGAGGTATTTTTCCCCAAGTTTGAGGTAATTTCCCCCAAGTTTGAGGTCATTTCCCCAGTTTCAAGGCCATTTTCCCCACCTCAAAACCACCTCTCCACATCAAAAACCACCTCCCATATTCGACATCACCTCCCCCTGTTTTCCACCCCCACCTGACCCCRTCCCTCGATGTCCCCGGGCAGGAATGGACCCCGCCACCACCTCCAGGAGCAACCACTGCCTGGACAAGAGCATCTCCCCAGTTTTGAGGTCATTTCCCCCAGTTTGAGGTCATTTTCCCCAGTTTTGAGTCCATTTCCCCGATTTTGAGAGTATCTTTCCATGACAAGAGCATCTCCCCAGTTTTGAGGGCATGTCCCCAATTTTGAGTGCATTTTCCCCAATTTTGAGATCATTTTCTTCAATTTTGAGGTCAATTTCCCCAGTTTTAAGGTCATTTTCCCCAGTTTTGAGGCCATTTCCCCAGTTTTGAGGTAATTTTTCCCAGTTTTGAGGTCATTTTCCCCAGTTTTGAAGGCATCTCCCAAGTTCGAGGTCATTTTCCCAGTTCCAAAACCCCCTCCCATCTTCGCGATCACCTCCCCGCCTTTTCCACCCCCACCTGACCCCGTTCCTCGATGTCCCCGGGCAGGAATGGACCCCGCCACCACCTCCAGGAGCAACCACTGCCTGGACGCGGCCAAAGCCTGCAACCTCAACGACAACTGCAAGCGCCTGCGCTCGGGCTACATCTCCACCTGCAGCCGGGAGCTGTCGGCCACCGAGCCCTGCAGCCGCCGCAAGTGCCACAAAGCCCTGCGCCAGTTTTTTGACCGCGTTCCCAGCGAGTTCACCTTCCGCCTGCTCTTCTG